TTTCACAATATGAATGTTGTCTATTGAACGGAAATGGTAGAAAATAATTGCCTGATATGTTAAACGCACCATCATATCCCTGTCCGCTTTTTCTTTTCCTTTTGATCCTTCTACTTCCACGTAGCAAAGGAAGCATTCATTGACTTTTTAATATCCGTAGCTTTATCCGCTAAGACCGAAAAGAAAATACAGCACTTTTCACTTCTTCAAAAATAAACTTCTAGATACATTTTCCAATTATTTCGTTCTGTATTCTAGGAATCAGGTATGCTGAAGATTCGGGTGTACTCTCCAAATCGTTTCTAAATTGTTCCTCTGCATTATATAATCTATATCCATAATTTTATATTCTATATCGCAACAGCGCTCTCAAATTTCTCCCATTGCATTTACTTTCCCTAAAGGAAATGTCCTCCATTCCACACAATAAAATTGTCTCAATGACTACTTTATTTTTATACGATTGTTCTTTCAATATATCGGAAGCTTGTTCGTCCATAACCTGTTCTATACGTTTTGAAACATCTCATTGCTACATCTTAATATGCGATCGAAGAAATCTGATCGAATCATTTCAGTAGAAATGTTTTTTTTTTTCCATTTTTTATTTCTATTATTGGATCGAGTAGCAGAGTTGCACCAATGAAAATTACATCAATACATCGACATAACAATTTCGAAGAAATATTGTTACTCATATTCAGATCATCGCAACTATGGCCTATAATTTTAAAGAGGAAGAGTAGAATTAAATTCTTTATTACGATGCATTTTTATGGAAAATTCCACCATATTAACCATTAAAGCGATATAAATGAAATCAGGCGAAAGTTTTCAATTTCACGCATACGGGCAAATTTTAAAACTGTTGTAATATCCTGTCAACTATATATATTTAAAAGAGCTTTTCCAACTGTTTCATAGATGTCCAAATTACCTCGTGCTCGAGTTGCAACACACATGTTTCCTTTTACTTCTACAGGATTGAGCCGATTATGGTGACAGAAAATATCATAAATTCTAGACCTCTAGCGTACATGTATCTTTGTGAGGATACATAAGAAGCTTCAACCACAAACCATTTCCCTTTTGGAAGTTCCAGTGGTTTAAAGCCATTTGACAACCTACGTATGGTATTAAAACAAATCTGTCTCATTTCACAACAATACGGAAACATATGGTCAAAGTGGATAGCTGAGTATTTGCTATCGTTGACCTGCAAAACCAAATGGTTTGTGAAATTAAAACCTATATGTCAGGGTGATTTAGTAATAATTGTTGATCATTTACTACGCGAGCCCAAGTCATTTTTAAGCAGTTTTTTGTTCATAAGGAGCGAACTTTATTCAATATCCTGAAAATATTATTCAATAATCAAATTAGGCATAGAATAACTATTTTTATAGTCTGCACCCTTTTAATTTATTATCGAAAAATTTCAAAGAAATTTCTTTCACTCTCTGCAATCCAGAATAAAAATTTTATTGAACTCCATTCAGAATAAAGAAATGCGAAATAATTCGCTTTGTTATTTTGTTCAGAATTACATCAAAGGAAAAACGAAAAAATCATGGGAAATTGACGTTCAGAATAAGGCTGCATATGATATTCTTGATCAGAATAAAATTCTATGTCAATTTATGCATGCTCGTCTGTCATTTTTAAGGCAGAGCTGTGGAATTTTTCATATATATGTTACTACTCCCATGATGTATGAGTATCCCCATTTCTTTGGAATTTTGTCAATTTTTTCAACCGAATTGACTGTAATTTGGAGTTGCCATTGTGAAGCAAATATCCTTACCAAAAATGATTTATATCGGGTAAGTTTTCGATATTTTAGGGATTTTGGATTTTTTGAACGAATTGTGTTTTTGGTTCGCATTGAGTGTCAAATCTTTATACCAAAAATTTACCATGGTATAGCCCGCTATTATGAATGTGTCGAACGCCATCTCATTGTGGAGGTTATAAAAAGTTCGGCCTGTCTAAACATACCAACTTTTTAATTGTTTTATTTCTGCTTTGCCAAATCTGCGCAAACTGAGAAAGCTCCACAATTTGCTCTTTCGATTTTAAAACAATTACAGTCAAGTACGGTTATAACGAACTAGTAGGGACCCATCAAATTAGTTCGTTATAGAAGAAGAAGAAAAAAGTATATATTCAGTTAGAAATTGGTAAGTTTTGTGTCAGTTTCTAAACCTGCTTTTCGTTTTCTTTAATAAACCTGACATTACAGCTCAATTACAGAAGGTAGTTTTATTTGAGAGATTGATGATGGCAACCCTTTTTAATTTGGAACTCATCTATGAATTTTAAATAATATGGAAAATAAATTCCATAAAATGTTACGCATGGCGATTGGCATATTTTTAAAAATGAAACGAAATATATTTTTTAAAACTGAACATTGCTCTCAAGATATAACCATGGTTGTTACAACTTATGTTTATAAGTTTTAGAGGCAGGGAACTTCAAAATATGTATAAATATAAATTATTTAGCAATTTTTGTCACTAAGTTGGCAATCTAGTTCACGTAGCGGATCAATCTTTCTCGATCCTTTTTTAAAAAGGAACTAGTTCCCTAATGTAGTTCCTTTGCTCCATATAGTTCCTTTGCTCTTTATAGTTCCGTTGATTTTTATAGTTCCTTTGCTCCATATAGTTCCCACTCCTACTTTTTTTCGCGTTGATTTGTTTATAGATGAAAAAATTAAAATTGAGCAAAAATGAAAAGAAGCTACAGAATTCAACTGCAGGACGATAAGCAGAAAATATTTTTTTATAAATAAATAAAAATATTTAAAAAAAATTAACTATTTACACAATAATAAGTTCATGAGCGTATGTTTTTATATATTGTTAACAATGTGACAGCATTTGAAAAACGAACGAATGAAGAATATGGGAATAAAGGAACGAGATCAGAAAAAAGAACAATATCAGAAAAAAAGAACGAGAACGAGATCAGAAAAACTAACGAGACGAAAAAGGAACGAGATCAGAAAAAGGAATTATATTAATTAAAGAATTGGAACTAGATCCGATCGTTCCTTTCTCGGAATAGTTCCAATAAACTAGTTCGTTACGGAACTACCCAACTCTACACTGAACACATGATATGTGTACATTTCGAAGGAAGATATTTTCATTTAAATTTTGAAAGCTGAATACAGTCAAAGGCAAATTTATAAAAAATTGAAAAATATGACTCCAAGAGACTACCTTGTATAATTATGCCATGGTTGTCAGCGTTAGAGAAAAAATTACCTTTTGTGAAGATTTTCATTGTCAGTATTACGTATAATTGTAGCAAGTTCGTTATAACCAAATTAGGAACAACTCTAGTTTAGTAAAAACGATCAAATTTTTCTGAAATTTTTTCCAGAGGTAGGTATTTTTACCCTAATTATGGGGATATCTTTTTTCTTGGGGGACGTACCCGGTTACCCGGTTATTTGACCCGGAAGTTCGGGTACGGGTACCCGGTTATATCCGGTTCTACGGATCCGGTTAATATAATATGGGTATCATTTTAAAGGTTATAAAAATACCTTTCCATTGAGTGGTAATATGATGGGGTTATCTCAAACCATTTTGGGGATATAGTCAAAAAACTGGGTTTTGGTCCCCGATTTTTTTGAAAATCTCCCTAAAAGTCGAATTTGGGTCCATTATAGTCCCTCTCCAAACAGGACCCAAATGATAGACCACAATTTGCCCTTTCCAAAATGGTGCGATATGTGGCTGTATCTGTTGTGGATCAAAAGATATGGGCCTTAGAACCCTATAAAACAAGGAAAATCTTTCTACATGACAGAATCTCCTTTTAAATTGACCGGCCTTCGGCCGGGGATTTAAGACTTTCTCCTATGGACAGATGCCAACACCGGCTAACGCGGCAGAAAATCCTTCTAAATAGAATATTTTTTGTGTAGCCGGCCATCGGCCGGGGATTTAAGACTTTCTCCTATGGACAGCTACCAACACCGGCTACGCGACAGAATCTCTTGTTAAATGGAATATTTTTTTGGGTGACCGGCCTTCGGCCGGGATTTAAGACTTTCTCCTATGGACAGATGCCAACACCGGCTAACGCGGCAGAAAATCCTTCTAAATAGAATATTTTTTGTGTAGCCGGCCTTCGGCCGGGGATTTAAGACTTTCTCCTATAGACAGATACCAACACCGGCTACGCGACAGAATTTTCTTGTTTTTGTAGGGTTCTAAGGCCCATATCTTTTGATCCACAACAGATACAGCCACATATCGCACCATTTTGGAAAGGGCAAATTGTGGTCTATTATTTGAGTTTGGGTTAGAGAGGTACTATAATGGGCCCAAGTTCGACTTTTAGGGAGTTTTTCAAAAAAATCGGGGACCAAAACCCAGTTTTTTGACTATATCTCCAAAATGGTTTGAGATAACCCCATCATATTACCACTCAATGGAAAGGTATTTTTATAACCTTTAAAATGATACCCATATTATATTAACCGGATCCGTAGAACCGGATATAACCGGGTACCCGTACCCGAACTTCCGGGTCAAATAACCGGGTAACCGGGTACGTCCCCCAAGAAAAAAAGATATCCCCATAATTAGGGTAAAAATACCTACCTCTGAAAAAATTTTCAGAAAAATCTGATCGTTTTTACTAAACTAGAGTTAAGCCCCAAATTAAAATGTATAAGAACAGAATATTGGAGCGAATGAATAGTTCGTTATAAAAAAGTTCGTTTTATCCGTAGTTCGCTATAAGAGTAAAGATTTGTATGACAAATATGTCTTAAAACTTCGGGGCCAGGAAATGTGTTTGTTATAAGAAAAGTTCGTTATAAATGCACTCGACTGTATTTACGTTTTCGTGCAGCGTTTGTTTCGATATATATTTGTATTATAGAAAACATAAACTATTGAAGTATTAAACACAATATATACTACATATTCGGCAATTGTTTGTGTCTGAGAACAATTTAAATACAAATTCTGGGATTATTCTTCTTCTTCGGACTCGTCTTCAATGGCAGTTTCATCACAACCTTCATTGCCGTTGCTAATATTTAACATTATGGTTGGTGCTTCATTAATGTTTTGCATAGTATCATCATTATTTGATTCCATGTTTTGTGACTGTTGCTCTCCTTCTTTCATTTCTGTGTTTTCGTTATATTTATTAGCTTCTTCATCAACTACGCCAGCTTCTGCCAATTTGGACTCTTCTTCCAATTGTGTTTCTTGCTCCAGTCTAGCTTCTTCAGCTAGTCTAGCTTCTTCTGCTAGTTTAGCTTCTTCAGCTAATCTAGCTTCTTCAGCTAATCTAGCTTCTTCTGCTAGTTTAGCTTCTTCTGCTAGTCTAGCTTCGTCAGCTAGTCTAGCTTCTTCAGCTAGTCTAGCTTCTTCAGCTAGTCTAGCTTCTTCAGCTAGTCTAGCTTCTTCAGCTAGTCTAGCTTCTTCAGCTAGTCTAGCTTCTTCAGCTAGTCTAGCTTCTTCAGCTAGTCTAGCTTCTTCAGCTAGTCTAGCTTCTTCAGCTAGTCTAGCTTCTTCAGCTAGTCTAGCTTCTTCAGCTAGTCTAGCTTCTTCAGCTAGTCTAGCTTCTTCAGCTAGTCTAGCTTCTTCAGCTAGTCTAGCTTCTTCAGCTAGTCTAGCTTCTTCAGCTAGTCTAGCTTCTTCAGCTAGTCTAGCTTCTTCAGCTAGTCTAGCTTCTTCAGCTAGTTTAGCTTCTTCAGCTAGTTTAGCTTCTTCAGCTAGTCTAGCTTTTTCAGCTACTCTAGCTTCTTCAGCTAATCGTGCTTCCTCTGCCAATTTTGCTTCTTCTGCTCTTCTTTTTCCTTCAGCCCTAAAATGTTGATATTATTATTAAAAATAATTTAGAAATTCAAAAGGTACAAAAGGTCGTTTTGACAACTTACAACTTTTCTTGTAGTTGGTTTGACTTAATGGTTTCCTCAGCTTGTTTGGTCGATTTGGACAAATCATCGTCATTTTTATGGGTTCCTCCACTGAAAGAAAAACAAATTTATATGAAGTTACTAACTGATCCAGCAAACTTTTCATTGCCTTATTATTTGTTTTTATTTATAATCAAGCAAATAAAACAACTAACAATTTATAATATTTTGATTTAATATACCACTTTTTACATTATTAATATTATCTTTAGTTACTTATCTAATATATATTTTTAATGGGAACATCTGAATTATTTATGTATACATATATAAGACTATATTATATTTACGTGATTCCATATCAAACATCACACCCAAAATCATGGAAAAATAATAAATATAATTAAACACAATTCATTCGTTGCAAAACAATGACACAACCGTTTGTATCTCATTTTGTATTTATTTGTGAAAATCATAAAAGATCTCAGCTTTGCTTACAAACTTATCAGTGAGGAGGTATCGCGATAAACTAAGAACTTCGATCTGTTAAATTGACATTTGGGTATAAAAGAAAGAAGCTGCCGCCTGTTAACCTTATGAATAATCTTGATCAGGATTAAGAATTTGGAAATTTGAACAATATTTGTCATGGTCTATATATTAGGTCAACCTGTATGGATGAATAAATTTTTCAATAAATAATAAATTTTGAAAGATATTTTCCCCGCAACCACTTTTGTCATAATATATAGATACATGGCTGAGCGCGCACGACACGATTTAAACACAGCACTGATTTTATTTTAATAAATAATTGATTTTTCACCACATTTGGAAAATATGTTGCGTATTACACAAAAGTAATATAATCGTTTTAGGGAGATTACCATTTAGACATGAATTTTAATAAATATTCCTTTAAGGTATATATAATATTTAGTACTTACATCTGCTCATATCTCCATAGACTAATTTATAAAAAAACTCCTGATAGTACAAATGTGCCACGGTTATTAATCTATTGATCTTATAACTGTAAATATATATATATATATATATATATAAATTATACATATAAAATTTGTAAAACTGTTTTATCAACAACACCCTAGGAATGATTTCTCAAAAATTGATCTAAATATCCGAATTGTTGAAAATTTTACAGCAGTTTTAAACAAATAAAAATGCAAATGTACCCGGTTATTGGCCGTAGGGTTAATATGAAATTTTAATTAGGCCCCATTTCGCTGTCGCAAAATGTAAACAAAATACAAAGTGTACTTACATTAAAAGTATTTTTGCTCTAATTTCATAATGGTTCATGAAATAATTAAAATATTTTGAGCATAAGCATAATTGAGTTTCTCTATCGATTGACATCAAAAAATTGCCGTTTACAACATTATCGGAAGGGCTCGGTATAATGTTACCATCAGCTGGTTTAATATAGTTACCTAAATATACCTTGGTTGATACGCTACACATTTTCGCCTACAAGTTCCCAATTGTTCAAAACTAACCACGACGTGATTATATCGTGATTATAAATAAAATATATCCTTTCAAATATTCGGGCATGTTCCGGCATTCACTTCAACGGCAGAAGTGTATCGAACACACGCCGAGGTGTTCTGTAACACACTTTACAACCATTTGAGGTGTATTCTTTACACTTACATTTCCATAGTGAGAGTCGGGTGTATTCATGTTTTTTCATATAAAAGAAAATCTTTTTTGAAATAAAAAACGCACATGATGATAGATTGATATGTTATTATTGCGTATAATTTGTTTAAAATCGCAAAAAGGACATGAAACACCATTAAAACAAATTCTAAATAGATACTAAGGTTTGTCTTGAATTTTCTTCAACTGAATTTCTTGCTTGACACAAACAGCTGATTTGAAGTAAGGCCGAAGAAGATAGGGTTACCAAATGTTCCCCTTAAATCAATCAACAAATTAATGATATTACAGAGTTTTTCATACATATATTTTGTGTTGCAAATAATAAAATATTAAAAAATAATAATAAAATTGTCGTTAGAATTAACGAAATTACTAAAAAATACAGAAACAATGTTAAAAACGAATACAGTTATATTGTATGGCAACACTATTTCTGCAAAGTACCATGTCGACTTTTATTTTTGTCGCAGTTCAAAATTTCAATTCACGTGAGAAGCAGAACAGGAGGTAGCTTCTGAGGTGAAGTGTATGTGTGAAGTGAAAAGAACACACCGTGAGTTCCAGAACATACCCGATTTTTATGCCAAATTTTTAGCGCATTATTGACGTTATTTCGTTTATTCTATCCTGGTCATATACTATTTCGAATTTCCTTATATATATGTAATATATATAAAATTATTGGTCTGTTCCAGTACTTTTTTAGTAGTAAATCTAGTAAAAGGGAAATATTTCAAAATTGCTCTCAGAGTGCAAAATAATTTGAAAAGTTCGGGAACGCAAATCTAGTAAATCTGCCAAAATTAGATGGCAATACTTCAAAATCAACATAACAGCCAATCAGAAGTAGGCATTCCTGTTTACCATTTTTACTCGATCAAATTTCTCGAGTAAAAAGTTTACATAGAGAACGCCATTTTGTTTTGTGTTCTCATAAATTTGAGTCAATGTTTTACCAGTTTTGTGGGTTGAGGAACGGTATTCAAGTAAAAAGATGCAAAACATGTAAAATGAGTAGATTCTTTTAGGTTCTGGAACGGAACTTATATTGTTCGTATAAATACTCCTCCGTTCGTTAGGCATGAGAATAGGTTGTAAGCTATTTTATAATAATAGCCAAAAGTGGATGATGTCGCGGATTTCCCAAACATCCTATATTTTAAGTCTTCCTACCAAAACTTCTAAATATTGGTCCACTTTTCAGGGTATCCTCCCTTATAACTATACTCGACAGATTTCGAAATTTTGAGCAGTTTTGTCACGATTTTTGAACAATATTTCATACTTAACATTACCAATATCGGTTTCTAAGCAGGCCTAGTTCTTTATAATGGAGACCCCATTATAAATTTGAAAAAGGAAAAATCTTGATCTGGGCCACTTACATATCTGAAGATAATTTGTGTTTGATGCCATTTTTGAAAAGATTAGTTCTGCCGTTTCCGCAATAAAACATTTAAAAAAATTGCGATGTGTGTGTTATATCTAACCACTAACAGATTTATTTAACTATTCTTCATATATTGGAAATATTCCTCTTCACTGAAGATCCAGTTATATAATCCCTTTGCATAAAACTGGTTGTCGGGGTACTATTCAAAATTATAGAGGCCAAATTGAGTGGATCTCACTTATTATTTGAATTTTGGTTTCTCGAACAATTTTCCACTTGGTTTTATCTATAGTTTTCCTTTCCAACATGGCTTTATAAAAGGGAATTCAAAATATATATATTTATATTGCTTAATAATATATTTTGCTTAATATTCCCTCACGTAAAACACGTAAATGTCCTTAGCTAATAGAGTATCATCTTCGAACCCTATTCATTTAATAAAAAAAAATCTATTATTTGTCTATTGCTGTAGTATTCTAGCCGCCTATAACGGTAGTTATAATGTATGTTTGTCAAAATTTTTGTGTTATTTCTGTGTCCGTCAAAATTTCTGTGTACCCAGTATTTTTCCTTCACTATTAACCCTCCATAATCCGGACTATGGGGTGTTCGTTCTCTCCGTGGGAACGTTCAAAAAAATTCTAATATTATGTAAAAGAGCTTATGTTTTGATTGTTATAATTTATTAAAACACATAAATAACAGTAATTTCTAGAAAAAGTGGGCTTCTTATCAGAAAATAAATCTGTTATATATATTTGTACATAGGTACATGAAAGCTTAAAGGATAAGAAATTTAATTGACATCATTTTGATATTGTCTTTAGTTTTTTTTGCGATTAACAAAGAGTCCTTCTTTACGATAGCGGACATTATTTCAGATCACTGGGACATCAGATTTAAAAAATTCCACCGACATTCGAAATATGATTAACTTCGTAAAATATTAACAAAATTGCATGTGAAGTGGGTTTTTGGATTTCGACCATATTCGACCACAAGCCATATTAGAAAATAAGGTAGATTTTGACCGATTACATACATCCCATGTAAAATTTCCAATGTTAAAATTAGGAACCGATTGAATTATTAGTCTTTGAGTTATCGTGCGCGACATTTGTAAAAAGACTGTTTCGATAAAAAACGCGTTTAAAATTTGAGAAGCAGTCGCTTGCTGCTGACACAATAAATCGGCTATATCTTCATGTATTGAGTAGATTTTCACTTAAAATTCTAAAGGGACATTATTCAATTACTGTAGTTTTGAATTAAACAGAAAATTAAAATTCATATATATATATATATATATATGGGCAATATTGCCAATTTTGTAACATAGATGAAGCGGAGGTTCACCCCTTTATAACTCGGGAATTACTTAAGTATATGAAAAAAAGCTATATATCTCAGTACTTATTCAACATATATAACAACTTTATGGCTGATTATTGTCCTCTGACACTTAATTATTAAAAATAGTACCAAAAAGGTATAAAAAAATAGTATTAGATAAAAAATTTTACAGTTTTGTAAAAAAAGTCAAATTCGCCGAATGTGCCCCAACCCGGGGTAGCTTCGGCATATGATGGGGCACATTCGGCACCATAGTTATAGCCGGGTAATTGTCATCGCTATCAGTCTGGTTGAAATTCTGATCCTCTAAAGGCTCTATTTGGTTTTAATACGCGACACAATGTTTGAATTTTAGGGCTATATTTCCTAGCGGCGGACGTTGAAATCTCAAAATCGCACACACTATTACAAATAGGGTTTTTCTATCGCATTTTCGTTAATACAAGCACGTTTAGTCTTATATATGTAATTTCGAACCATATTAAAGGATTATTTTTAAAGACAAACTCAAAAACATTTTAAGGAAATTATATTGCACTATCTGTATATGGCCGAATGTGCCCCACTTTAACATGCCGAATGTACCCCGAATGTACTTTTTATAGTTTTTAATTTTTTTTCGATCAGTTTTGTAAAAACATTATATTTTTAAATATTTCTATAATAATACACATCATAGTTAACTACTTTTTAATAATATTGTCTTAAAAATTTAAAAAGTTTTTTACACGAAATACTTACGAAATGGAATTGAAATATTACAGAAACATCTATAAAAATACAAAAACCCATGTATCTAAATAAGCTTATTAGCTAGAAAATTCAAACTTTGTGTCAGTTATTTATTTCGATACTCGATACCCATATATCGAAACTAGTGATGTACGGTGAGAGCTTCATGTCGAATACGCGATTGCCGAAGGTGCCCCGATGCCGAAGGTGTCCCAGTCTCCCCTACGCCCCTTATGTATCATTTTTCAAAATTTTAACGCAAACAGCAATTTACAAAAATTGATTATAAGATTATTGTAGTCGCGAATCTGCGTAATTTGATATGTATTTTGTGTATGAAGTATGCACAGCTTCAGAGTAATACTCATCCGAAGGTGAAAATTTTGTGCGATCAAATTTCTAAAAAACCTATTTTTCGGGCCAAATTTTTAGATCTGTCAACTGAATGATATAGGTATCCGCGATCAATAAAGTTTTTTACGTTTCGGATGATATAAAATCTTCTTCGTGAAAATCCATCTACTAGAACGGCGGGAACTGGCCTTCCAAAAACACGAAATTTGGCAAAAAATGTTTTTGAAAATATCGCGAATTTATTTGTGTTTTCTGTGGATCATTTCTGCTTCAATAAATGACCTCATACGGATTTTGATCTTTTTTCGAAAAGATAACTTTAAAAACTTTAGCCGAAAGAGACATGTACCCAATTTATCTCAAAAATAGTGTGAGCCGGCACATCCATCGTTCTTAATGGACCACATTGAAATCAGTATAGATCGATGTATTTTTTTAGGGTGCACACCGAAATCGGATGCGCGTTAATGGCATATGGAGTTTTCGGAAATTATTCACGTTTTACGATTTTTTGGGTACTTCAATGCAACGTGTGGCACATCTTAGCCGTCAAATGAAATTTCGCAAAATATATATGAATTGGAAGATAAACTTCAGTACTTCCTGGAAACCGCATGCGCATCAAATGATTTAGAGAATTACGCGATTTAGACGCAAATTAAAATGTATATTTCATAATATTATTTTATTTTAAGATTTAATCCTATTTATAGGAACCTAAGATTTATCGGAAGGGTCTTGATATAATCCGCAAGGCGTATACTTATACACAAAACGTGATTATTATTATATATGTCAATTTTTCGGCGAAATTCGTGTAAAATAGCAGAACATTTTTTTGAAATTTCTTGAATAAAAATTAAAAAAATAAATATGAAGTCTTTATTTTTTCAAACCAAAAACAAATATTTTTCCTCTATATCTTGTTTTGTTGTCGCTGTAATTTACAAACCGGTACACTGACTTGTGTGATTTTGATATCATTTGATTCATCATGGTGCTTAGATTATGTAGATATTTTTAAATTAATTTGTAGGTTGATACATGTCATTAATATAATGAAAATATTGATGTAATCTCCTATATATTTTTTATTTTTCTCATTTTTTGCGAAGATCTGCAACTTTATCGCGACTATTATAATATATTCATATTCTTATTTTACGGAGGAAGATATATATCAACGTTTTTGGTCAATATAATAAACGGCGTAATTTTAAGATTTTTTTCTTATGCCCAAAATTAAAACCTCGATAACTTTTGCGCGCATCAACCAAAATTTAAAAAATCATAGGTACACGTTTTCTATAAAATCCACTTAAATTGTATGTTAAAGATTGTTTCGATCTGGCAACTCCTTCATATAGAAAAACATTAGATATGCGTGCTTTCATTGTAGAAAAATTGCGGATGCGTCTTTTTTGAACACATCATTCTATATGAAGGAGTTGCTTGATCGAAACGAAATATAACATGTGTTTATAATAGATATGAAAATTTCCGTGTATACCGCGCCTTTTGTGCTAGGCTAAGAATTTTCCGAACTATGTATGTAAAAACAATTCCAAGAAAAACGCGGTTATGTGCGCGAAATTGTCAAAACTTTGCATATGTATCTACTTTCAAAGAACCTACATCCGCCATTTTAATGCCCGGATAACAATGACTGAACAATTTTGCGCACAAAAAAATCATTCATTGGTACCATCCCAGTTATCATTTGGACTACTAAAAAGGGACCCGAAAATGACTTCTTCTATTGATTAAAAATGGGTTAATTTTAAATACAACAAAATGTATAGCAGTCGCAAAATAATCATAAAAATGTGTAATATGTATATAACTACATAGTAAATAGAAAAAGTTTCATTTATGCTCATTTACAAAAGTTATGTGGAGGTGTAATAAAAAAATTAAACTACGCAATTCATTATAAAATATTTTATATATTTAACAATCAGTGAGAAAATGTATTAATGTTATTATTTATACTAATTTTTTACTTATTTAGTTATACTAAATTAATTAATTTGTGTTTTTTATATAAAATGAACTAATATAATTATCTTTATTTATTTTTTTATAATAAATAAACATTTAAATCGTTTGAGATCATAACTAAATAATTTTTATTTAACACTTAAACACACACCCGTATCACGCACGTGATTTGTAAAATCGTAAACACTAATTTATGACTGATAAAAGACTTGAATATTAAACATAAATGGATCAAAAAGAACTCCAGAATAAATATATGCATGAGTTATAGACGACTATAAAAATGCTCAGCGTCGGTTTAATTTTCTACCGACGACTGATTCAATTACGATCAGAAAATTCGCGCATATACGGGCATTTTTCACCGTTTTTTTTATTACCGCCAGTACAGCTTTCACATATCATATTGTTTCTTATTCTTTTTATATAGATTTTGACTAGAACCCTTCAATTTATAGAAATGTATTTATTTTCCAAACTTCAGCTTGAAGGAATTAAAAATATTTTTTGAATATTGTCGAGAAAAAAAGATTTTAAAATTAAAAAAAAGTGATATGAAAAAAGACGATTGGGAAACGATGGCACAACTCCTGATCTCGTATCATTTCAGCAACTAATAATGTCATCTTTATATATATATATATATATTTGTGTCTTTATCTGGACCAGTTACATATCTTAATATATTTTTTGAGATTGTAAAATAAATAATCAACCGATAAATGTTCAACCATTTTCGAGATAAAAATTTGTTAAAAATGGTATTTGTGGGAGATCCACGACATCATCCATTGTTGGCATAAAAATAGCTTACAGTCAACAGCGTGATGGTAGACACTCTGTGTTAGTTGTACCTTTATTGTTTATTTCAAAACTTCGTTGAAGTTTGTATATTGGGAAAAAGTGTAATTTATGTTATTTTCCTTACTTTATTTCTCTCTTAGAGCGCATTCCACGACCTTTTTTCTCCAATGCATCCTCGTCATTATTGTCTTCCATAACAGTCATTAATCGTTCTTGTCGCAAACGTTTTTTTTCATTGAGAACGTTTTCCTCCTCATTGGAGTCCTCCAACTGTTTTGGGGATGAAAATTTCCTGGATGGACGGTTTGGATCCAAATCTGGATCTGAAAAAAAATTATTAATTCACATGTAATGTATATATACAGTAGTCAAATCGAAAATATTGTTTCAAAACTATAGAATCAAGCTATATTATAAATTATTTATATTTTTTTATTTTATACAAATAAAAATATGAATCGTTTCACTTTTTATTTTATTTGGATAAATATTCAAAGAACGTCATATAACTATGAGACAATCGTTACATAATGTACGCAGGATTTCAATTTGGGGGGTGGGTGGTGTAGAACAATGTTTTTGATTTTTATTTTTGACAGAGGAGGAGTTTTATTTATTTGTAACTCAAAAAATAATAATCAATTTTAGCAGTTAAAAATCAAGGTTTAGTTCTTACGTAAAAGAATAAATAATTAGAATGGATTTTTATTATTTATATATTACAGACTCATTGTGAAAATGTAGTTTATTTTCTTACTGTTTTACAAAATCGGTAAATATTCTATTTAAAACTAAAATAAATGTTCATCGCCAACATTTGCGTATTGTTAATGGACGAAAATGTTAAATGAATAAAATTACTATTTAAAACGTATTTCATACAATGTTAAATTATAACAGAAACCACTAGATTATATCATGTTGCAAAAAATAATATAAATAACAATTACAACTCTGGTTATCGTTAACGATCCCAATAAATAGCAATTCGTACACCTTTGCTCGTGTTGATTTATGTTACTTGGCAAGTGTCAATTTATAATTTTCCGTTATTTTGTATTGAGTTTCATCTCAATCGTCTTTGTGTGTACTATAAACAGTTAATATGGGGCTTCCAAAATATTATTGGCAATTGGGAAAATAAGTTTTGAAATTTAACACATAATAGTAGGTCTGACTGAAATGGGACATTCCTGCAGACAAATAGCTAAATACTTTAAAATAGTCCATAATATTTCACAAATGTAATCGAAATGTATTACATCTGATTGCTCAAGATTGTTAACAAAATTAGCTGCCAAGGCGATAAATAAGCACGTTAGTATTTGGACTGTTCCTATATTCCTAGGTAGAATAGGTCTAGTTGCAGAAGTCAAGAAATAAACCAGCCCACTGTTGCAAAATGAATAAATTCGTTGTTACAAACATAAATTTAATGTGAAAAATATCATTTAGGGGGTATGATATTTTGATATATTTTTATATGGGGGATATGTGCCGAAATGTGGACATTCAAGTTCGTATCGGCAATCAGCTGTTACATCACGCATTTTTTGTCGACGCGAACAATTTGGTTTACCAAAGCATGACATTTAGTCAACTTTAGATGAATTTAAGGGAACCCCCCCCCCATTCTCGATTTTAATTTTTCAAGACTTTCAATGGGCTGGTAAATGAATACAAATGCTTGTTACGGTTTGTAACTTTGCACATATATAATTGAAGATTTAAAAGAGAAGAAAAATAATTTACAAAAAAATTTTGTTGTTTTGTTGTTGTTTTTTTTTTTAATTGAAGAAAAGTCCTTATTTTTGATGGCGTGCATGATAACTTCTTACTGGAACATCGGAATCCGAAAATTCCAACGGTGTTAGAAAGAGTACATGTCTGGCTCTCGTATGAACTAGGATTATTGACTTCGCTCTAAAATTAACAAAATGGTGGACCTTTGAAAAAATATTTTTGGAAAATCGCCGATTTTTTTACCAAAAACCAAGTTAAAAAATAAGGAAGATCTTCACCGATTGGCGTTATCCTAGTTCATACGAGAGCCATACACTCCCAGAGAAACGTTGCAAAATTTGGAACCGATTGGATTATTAGTTTTTGAGTTATCGTGCCCGCCATTCGAAAAAAAGTGTTTAGAGAAAAACGCGTTTAAAGTTTGAGAAGCCCTTCAGCCGTCACTTGATGCTGACACAATAAATCGGCTATATCTTCAAGAGTTCTTGAGATTTTCACTTGAAATTTTGTAGAGACATTCTTTAATCAGTGTAGATTCGAATTATATCAACAAAAATTTTGACTCCGAGAATGGGGGGGTTCCCTTAAATCATCCCATAACATTGTTACTGTCAGTGTTAAAGAGATTACAACAAAACGATCAAATGCTAACGATGCAATTTGCATTATTGAATCTGACCGACAAGTTTCGAAAAAGGTGATTCGTAAAATACGATATTTCTGTAGAATCAGTGTCAAGTGGAGAAATACTGTTAGGAGCAACAAAGGTCTCACACAGTCTTCAAAATTCACATTGTACGGACATCAATCAAGAAACTGCCATCGTAATCCGATATGTACTTCTGGTGCTGGCAACCACAAAGTGTCAAGTTGTACTCTGAATAAGACACAGAGTAAAGGTATACAAGTGTTTCAATAGCCTTAGTAGAAATGTCACGAATGTAAACCACAAAATGATCCTAAATGCCCTTGCACGCAAGACTATATTGATATGCGTTCCAGAATTACTTCTGGTCAAAATAAACCAAGAAGAATTTATCAATGAAACATATGGTCGCTCAGAAACTGCGTACAACAACAACACAGACGGAATGTCAACAGCTGCGTCATTTAGAACACGTGTTCCCAATGTTACCAGGCGACCATCTGTTACTAATAGCACATCGTTACTATCAGTTGATCAGCTGACAAACGCATATACAGGACCTGATGATAGGCGAGGTGAGTTGTACTCAAATATTGCGATTGACAATTCCGACGATTTATCAAATGTTAAATTGCTGGAAATTTATTTTGATGCGGTGCAACAATGCAAAAATAAGTTTGACAAACTAAGAGTTCTAGGAATAATGCTTAAACGTGCATTATAATCAATTCAATAGAAACGAGATTCAGATTATGCATTGGAACTGTCAAGGCATACCGACTAATTCAGCAATTACACAATTGGAATATTTTGTTAGAGAAAAACAAGTTGATATTATATTACTCAATGAAACATTTGTAAATCCAAATCAGAAATTTCGTATTGGCGGTTATAAGATATACAGACGGGACCGTTCGTCTCATGGTGGTGGGGTACTAATCGGTACCAAGAATTCTATATAACATTCTCCTTTGCCCAGTGATAATACTACGAATACCGAAATAATTGCATTGTATATTACGATAAATCGACGGCCCATAACACTAACTTCGGCATATTGTTCTCTCTATTCCGGACTATTTAATGAAGATTTGAGAAAACTCACATCTAAAAATAATGATTTTCTCCTATTTGAGGATTTTAACGATCTACAAAATAAATAAAATTTGTATTTGTATGTATATTATCCCTCGAATTACACTCGTTTCAGTCCAAATTGTCTGCCAACTTCGCCGTCTACTGTAGACATACTGATTTCGAACTCCTCGCTATATATCCGATTTGGAAACACATTCAAATATTTTAGTCTCCGATCATTTTCCTATAACGTGCAGAACTCATGGTTCTTTTGAATGTTCGGAAACTAGTTTTCCCCAGTATCATCTAGCTGCTTGGATCGCTATAAGGAGATGGGTAGACAATCAAAACGGATCACTGATTATATGGAACGAAAACGTTGACAATTCTCTGCAAAAACTCATAGATATAATCAAGGGCGCTACGGAAAAAATTCCACGTAGTAAGTTTTTAGATTCAGTCCGACAGTTATCCCCTGGCACTCTTCAATTAATACGCCAAGAAAGAGCAACGTTAAGAAAGCTTCAGCGATGTTCTGATCCAAACCAAAGGACTACCCTTGCAAATATATTAAAGCAACAAAGATATAGATTTTTACATCGACAAAGACCGAAACGAAAGGTGGTTCAATTTCATATCCAAATTACCAACGGGGAGTCAAAAATTTCGGAAGATATCAAAAATAATAAGAGGAAAGAATAATCCCATTCCAACACTTAAGGGCTAAGCAGAATGCTCGCGTTGAGCCATCCGTTGCGTTATGTGTTATCGTGCGTTAACGCGATAACAAAAAAACGCCCAACGCAAACATTCTGTTTAGCCCTTTAAATTCGATGGAATTTAAATATCTTCTCCAGCTGACAAAGCGGAGTGGATTGCGAATGTATTCGAAAAAACCTATGGACAGAAAGGTCAAACATGTTAAATGCATAGTGCAAAACACTGAAATTGAATCTTTAAACTCTGAGAGTGAAATTAGTGCGCATGAACTATTGACATTTACGAAGCAACAAAAAAGCAGAAAAACACATGGATTAGATAATATTCACAATATTCTACTTAAAAAATGACACCTTTATTTTTCAACACATTGGTAAAAATTCTGAACCGTTACATGAGCGCTGGCGTCTTTCCGCATACAATTGTGCAGGCAAAAGTAATACCTATACACAATAAAGGGGAAGACCATAAGTCACCAACTAGTCACAGGCCAATCAGTTTACTTATGGTGGCGTACACAAACGTTTATTTTTTGTGTTCAAATCGGCATATGTATTTTACATATGATATAACCTATAAACAAAAAAATAAACACTTTTATTTTTTCTTAAATCAACATAATTTTTTATTAAACACCTATAAAAGAAATAATAATTTGTAATTGTTGCCTTTTCATTCTTTCCATTGACTGGCAATTGAAATATTTTCTTCCAACAATGAGTTTCATTCAAACAGCTGATTTTCTTATGTTTCGAAAAAAATACATATGTAATTTCATATCGGTTTGACACATTGAAATTTCCCTATGTTTCACATGGCGAGTTTGAGTTGCATATGTAAGTAAAGTGTGTCAATTAATACGCCAAGAAAGAGCACGTTAAGAAAGCTTCAGCGATGTTCTGATCCAAACCAAAGAACTACCCTTGCAAATATATTAAAGCAACAAAGATATAGATTTTTACATCGACAAAGACCGAAACGAAAGGTGGTTCAATTTCATATCCAAATTACCAACGGGGAGTCAAAAATTTCGGAAGATATCAAAAATAATAAGAGGAAAGAATAATCCCATTCCAACACTTAAGGGCTAAGCAGAATGCTCGCGTTGAGCCATCCGTTGCGTTATGTGTTATCGTGCGTTAACGCGATAACAAAAAAAACGCTCAACGCAAACATTCTGTTTAGCCCTTTAAATTCGATGGAATTTAAATATCTTCTCCAGCTGACAAAGCGGAGTGGATTGCGAATGTATTCGAAAAAACCTATGGACAGAAAGGTCAAACATGTTAAATGCATAGTGCAAAACACTGAAATTGAATCTTTAAACTCTGAGAGTGAAATTAGTGCGCATGAACTATTGACATTTACGAAGCAACAAAAAAGCAGAAAAACACATGGATTAGATAATATTCACAATATTCTACTTAAAAAATGACACCTTTATTTTTCAACACATTGGTAAAAATTCTGAACCGTTACATGAGCGCTGGCGTCTTTCCGTTGTACTCTGAATAAGACACAGAGTAAAGGTATACAAGTGTTTCAATAGCCTTAGTAGAAATGTCACGAATGTAAACCACAAAATGATCCTAAATGCCCTTGCACGCAAGACTATATTGATATGCGTTCCAGAATTACTTCTGGTCAAAATAAACCAAGAAGAATTTATCAATGAAACATATGGTCGCTCAGAAACTGCGTACAACAACAACACAGACGGAATGTCAACAGCTGCGTCATTTAGAACACGTGTTCCCAATGTTACCAGGCGACCATCTGTTACTAATAGCACATCGTTACTATCAGTTGATCAGCTGACAAACGCATATACAGGACCTGATGATAGGCGAGGTGAGTTGTACTCAAATATTGCGATTGACAATTCCGACGATTTATCAAATGTTAAATTGCTGGAAATTTATTTTGATGCGGTGCAACAATGCAAAAATAAGTTTGACAAACTAAGAGTTCTAGGAATAATGCTTAAACGTGCATTATAATCAATTCAATAGAAACGAGATTCAGATTATGCATTGGAACTGTCAAGGCATACCGACTAATTCAGCAATTACACAATTGGAATATTTTGTTAGAGAAAAACAAGTTGATATTATATTACTCAATGAAACATTTGTAAATCCAAATCAGAAATTTCGTATTGGCGGTTATAAGATATACAGACGGGACCGTTCGTCTCATGGTGGTGGGGTACTAATCGGTACCAAGAATTCTATATAACATTCTCCTTTGCCCAGTGATAATACTACGAATACCGAAATAATTGCATTGTATATTACGATAAATCGACGGCCCATAACACTAACTTCGGCATATTGTTCTCTCTATTCCGGACTATTTAATGAAGATTTGAGAAAACTCACATCTAAAAATAATGATTTTCTCCTA